TTGGTGACAACGAATTCCGCTATATGATAGTTCTAGGAAAAAATGAGATTTTGAACACCTCAATCCTTGGTTGATAACTCTGGTACTTGAAGGCATGACTGTTTCTTGTTCTTTTTACTGAGCTGGTATTAGGTACTTAGCAGTTGGTATGTCCACCAGTGTATTTAGTAATTTTGTACATCAGTTTGTAAAATTAGAACAATACTCATAGCCTTGTTGATAATCTCTTAACCTAATCTTGCTAACCTTGACAATGTACATTTTCTAACCTGATAGCAAAAACGAGCTGCACTGAACATCGTGAAATCACTGGACAGTGTTGCCGACACGCTGTTGGCATTGCAGCCTGGCAACGCAGAATATCAGACAACGTTTGGGACGGAAAACGTTGGGGTGACTCTGTCCAGATCGCCATCCAACAGAGACCTGCACCTCAGCAATGGCCCCATCACTGCAACAATTCCATCAACTGGATCCGGAAGCCAGACTAACAGCATGTTGGATCTGAAGGTACCGCTTTTTACACTTTTGCCACAACAATTTGATTTGTTGGTTCTCAGATTTTTTTAGAAAGAAATATAAAGCAACAAGTCGCAAGTGAATAGAAATAAAAACAGAACTGGGCTTTTTCTGACAACCCCCAAAGCTACGAGTTTGGAGTTGATTCAGACTCAGAGCCTGAATCTTTTTTTTTTTACAAATCAAAAAAAAACTTAAGCGGGTGAATTCCAGAATTGATGAGGCCTAACCAACATGTAGTCTCAGGAATATGGGTACATATGAGGAAGAAGAATTTCTATTCATTGTCACAAGCCAAATGAAGCTAGTATTGTTGTAATCAAGATACTGTATATAGGAAAATACTTGACCATGTGAATGCTGTTCAGCACCAAGGAGAAAGCAATTGTACATTACACTAAGAAACAGTTACTCAAGCAACTGGACATGATTACAGAATCCTTACGGTTCCAAAATCATATCCAGTTGCTCGAGTAACCATTGTTTGGCATATCTTATCACCTGGATGTCCAACCTTGACCGACAATTGTACATTAGTCTGTGAAATTCTTTAGTTCCATCATCATTCAATTTTTTTCAGATGTTGAGTTTCAAGAAGAACCCATACTCCTGGAAACAATCGACAGGAGGACAGAACATCTCTTCACCCGTTACGGTTCTGTCGATGGAGACAAGAGGATCTGGAAAAGGGCCGAAACAGGGCAGACAAAGAGGACCCAGAAGCCTGAAGGAAGAGAAGCAAGTAAACCTGGACATCCCGTTTGTACCCTTGCAAGAAAGAGAGCTGACAACAGACGCACCACACGTGACCACCCACAAGGTAAAGTAGCGTTCTTGTGTTTTATATACTTAAGCAAAGATAATGATATATATATGCGGGTAATAGGTAAGGAGCCTAATGCCAACAGTTTTATATATGTAAAAAGGTACTCAATTCAGCCTGTGGCTGCAATGTACTTTTGACTCGATCAAAATGATCATTCATTCATTCATTCATTCATTCATTCATTCATTCATTCATTCATTCATTCATTCATTCATTCATTCATTCATTCACTCACTCACTCACTCACTCACTCACTCACTCACTCACCCACCCACTCACTCACTCACTCACTCACTCACTCACTCACTTACTCACTCACTCACAAGCCAGGAGAAAGGAGTGCGGAAAGCAGCATCGACAGGGGCAACGGGACTACGATGACGTATCACCGCTTCAGCATCCCGGTCGGCAATGTCATCCCTGTCCTACACATGAGCTGGTGGGACGTAGATGCCACCTTTCACGTGTACTTCTCGTACGGGTCCAAACCTACCTTCGAGAAGTATGACGAGAAAAGAGTCATCCAGGCTAAAGACGGGTATGAGGCCTGGCTCGCGGAGAAAGACGTCACGGTCACCTTTACACCCAACACCACACGTCGTGGTGGTGCTCTGTACGTTGGCGTACAGAAAATAGGTAAATTGGAACAATATCTGTATACTTAATGAGTTGTATCTTTTATCTGTGGTTCATTTATTTTGGTTTTGTTTTCCTTCAATTCCCACGATCATGATAATGATAGTAGGCACTCATTTTCACCTGAGTGAAATGAGGAAAGTTACTTAGTCTAGTACTTGGAATAATTCAAACCTGGGACCTCTTGGTTCTGAGCCGAATGCTCTCACTGTTGTTACGCCACACAACCCCACTATTTTGCTGACATGTGTATACTTACAACATTCGTTTTTATGCTATTTTCAGATCGTGGCAGTTCTTCACCCAAGAAACCAAACCGAGAGAGAACCGCCAACTACAGTCTGTTGATGTCAGCTGTTGGCTGTTCATCTTGGGATGAAGATAATGAGCGATGGGGGCTGGAACAATGCAACGTAAGTCACGTCTAATTTACACAATATGCAAGCCAAATGAAGCTATTCATTGCACTCATATGGAAGAGGTGGAAAAATGCTTGATCATGTGAATGCCATTCAGCACCAAGGAGAAAACCGCAATACTTTTTAAATTGTTAAAAATGTTTATTTGTGTGTTTATTGTTGATTTTGTGTGTCTTTTTAAATGTATGTAAATAACTTTTTCTGTGCCATGCAATTATGTCATTTTAAATGTATGTGTTTGAGCCTTGGAAGATTAGCCCAGCAAGTTTTTGCGATAAATGAATGAATAAGAATCATGGTAGATTAGACTCAAAAAGACCATATCCATTTATGTACTATGTAAACATTTAAGAATGAACTGCCTTCGTTATTGCAGTGATATGTTTTCCCCCAGTTACAAATAAATGTTACTATTTCTTTTCAAAATCCATCAACCTAAATCAGGCTAAACTCGACATAGAGAACAACATCTTCCACTGTGAATGTCGCACGGTCGGGTCCAGCATTGCAGTCGGAACCATGACCCTCCCCACCCCGAATTCCATCGACTTTCTCACCGCGTTCAAGAACTTCAGCAACCTGAGGGACAACGCCGTGGTGCTCTCTATCGTGGTGTCTGAGTACATCTTGTACATCATAAACATGGTGCTCTTGTGTGCTAACTTCAGCCGGTTATGGGTAAGTATAGAGTGAGTGTACTTTGTGTGCTAACTTCTAACTCTAACTTGTAGTAGTAATTACTTCTGGGACAGATTCCAAGTATTCTTTGGGGCGGCACTGGTTTATGGTTTAGGTTGGTTTCTATGTTTGGATTCCAGAATGGAGGTACAAAAAGTAGTTTTGACAGTTGATTATCATACACACTGGCCATGGTTGAAAGTGGCCCACAGCATGTGTTGGGATGGAGCATGTCTGGGCCTTCTTCAAGCTATTTGTAAATTTAAAGTGTCTTCATTTTCATTTAAAAGTCTAAAAGTAGGTTTGCCTCCTAAAATTGTAAGATATCACATATAATATATACAAAATACAGTGTTACAACTATTGTGTGATAAGGATCTTCTTAGCTTCCTCATCTGATATATATTTTTAAGTATACAACATTTTTGTTTACTTCAGGGTAAAAGATCCCAGGACCAAAGGAAGAAGACGCTGCCCAAAGTGAGTCTGATCCCCCCTGACAGGATGCCTGCACCTCACCTCTATCAGCTCACAGTCACCACCGGGTCCATGTTCGGGGCAGGTACGACCTCACGGGTCGCCTTCCAACTCTTCGGGTCAGAGGGCACGACCCCGATCAAGATGCTGAACCCTGGAGGAGAGGTCAGGCTTGTTCTTGATTATGTTCTTCTACTATTCCTTGTCTCCACCAGACTCGTTTGCAGACTGAATACTATTATTAGATAGAAATCAGCCTTGAAAGGGAATGTACATGTAGCTGGCCACGGGAGTTAGCCAACCAAAGAGTGTCCAATTTTCCATGCAGGCAAGTTGGACCCTCTACCAGTATTGCATGCAAACGTGGCTATCTTGGTTTTTGATTGGACCATTTGTGACTGTCTTTTCATGATCTATGATCATTTTAAGTCTTAAAAAATCATGTCAAACATTATGTCTATGCATGGTGATGATAACATCAAGTGAAGTAAACATAGATTGATCATGATAGAATACAAAAAAGATGTACATGTATGTTACTTGTCGTAACTTTGTCATGATTACAGGCTTTGGTTCGTGGAAGTACTTTACATTTTATCATGCCTGTGCGTGAGTCACTTGGAGAAGTGACGCTGTTGCGCATCTGGCATGATAACTCCGGGGAAGGCGACACGTCAGCCTGGTTCCTTGGAAATTTTCTCGTCAGAGATGTTAAAAAGGATGCGGTGTAAGATCTTAAAGACAAATTATCCCACCTTCTGTTTGGCTGCTATCTGAACTCAGTCTTTTGATCAAATTTTCCTTCAATCTTATTACCTCATGTTCAGCATGCAAGAAATTCTCTGAGTGTGCAAACTTTCAAAATGTTTAGAAAAACAGACCGTCCCTTGAATACAGACTGCAAAACGACTAAATTTCTATAATTCTTTGCTTGATGACATGAGACTAATTATCAGTATAACTGATATATATCGTTCAATGCCCCCTCGACCTGATAAGGAAACGGTTGCGTGGTGTTGGGGGGGAAAAACTACATGCAAACAGGAACTCAAGAGAGTTCAGACTGCTGGGAAGTGTTTTGGGGTTTTGTGTATGTATTGGAACTGTACATCATGAAATGGGTTTCATTGCTTGCTCCAGTATTACACCACGGTGTTGTTTCATACCATGATTTACACAGTACGTATTCCTGGTGACCTCAATATCTACCACATCCTACCACCTAGAGCATGCCGGCCACAACCCTGACAATCAGCTGAATCCAAATCTCCACCCATCCACTTCCAATCCTGGCTGCTCAGGACAAGATACATATTTATTGACTAATGCCATGATTTACAAAATATATCTGATTGCTCTACAGGACTCACTTCCGCTGCCACGACTGGTTGTCAGAGGACAAAGGTGACGGGGAGGTGCAGAAGGTGGTTCACGCAACCCCCAAGCAGGAGCTGAGGTCCTTTGGTAACATCTTTACTTGAGGCAACAAGCGACCTATTCTACGATAAACAGCTGTGGACGTCTGCCCTTGTAGCACCACCAGGTCTGAGCATTTCTTCTTTGGCAACTTCATGATCCTCCAAGTACAGGTGGACACTTTAGATAGTTTTTTTTTAATTTTCATGTTTAGGAAAATGGAAAAAAATTGATAGACCAGCAAAAAGTGGAAACAAATGCTTAGGGTCTGTAGTACACAGGTACAAGCCCTTAGCTTGAGGTTTGTTGGTATATGCTTCAGTACATGTAGCTATAAGTTATGCAATATGAAATATATCATGTATTATAAGCTGTGTCCAGAAATTGATCAAATTGCTAGAAAAGGTTTTCAACCAAAAACATAATGCAAATTTAAAGTAATCTACTACTAGTATGTTGCTCCAAAAAATTAGGGATAATTTGACTTACTGAATGTGTTTTTTTTCCTGAGTATATAGGTTCCAGCTTCACCCAGGCCCAGCGTCTGTCATGTTGCTTCACTCTCCTGAACACCATGATGCTGGCCAGCGCTATGTGGTACAGGACTGATGACATAACTGCTGACACGAAAGTGTACAACCTGGGGGTTGCTCATTTCACAGTAGAGGTAACAACAAAATCAGAGATTTCAAACTAGTCCTATTATTGTGAAAGTTCATCTGTGATCATGGTAGTTACACGTTTGGAGTTAAAATTTTTGTTCCACACAAAAGAACTTGTCACATATAGAGCTTTTGACCAGTCACTCTCAGACCAGTCTTCTCAAGTAGACTGACCTAGTGACACTACAAATGTAGTTCTTACAATGTAGTAGTTTGCATCAATGAACCACAATAGTTTGCATCAATGAACCACACCATAACTCAATCGTCATTCGCATGGTCATTACTAAACAAACACCCCTGCAGTTCCAGAGCAAGCTGCTATGGGGACCAAACTTACGTCACTTCTTCCCCAGCACAAGAGCTACCTATTATCCATATTCGTGACCCTAGCTGTCTAGGTCGTGAGATATCAAAATGGGAAGTTCAGCTGCAGTACCTTAACAAGCCGCTAGGGGGCCAAAACAGGCTATCTCTTGAGCAGAGGCTATTGCCTAAAATTGAGCAATCTCTAGGCTCAGACACCCACTGTAAAAGAAAAGAAAATAAAGTTTTCTATACTTCTGTAGGAGCTGTACACCAGCCTTATGACTGCCTTGACCGTAGCTCCTGTGAACCTGATGATCGTACAGCTCTTCCGCATGGAGGCACCACTGGCTGCCAACACTCCGGAGATGTCAATCGTTACACAAGGTAGGAAAAACATTATCAGGCATGAGGCGGGAAACTAGCAACAAGCTTTAAATCAAAGGTTCTTGATGGGATTCTGTTGAGGAGATGAAAGTGTGTTTAACTGTGGTCTTGATACAAGTAGTACAGTACGTAATCATGAAAATTGCCTAAATATTGGCATTTATAGCAAATCCAATTGGCCACGTGCTCTCACTTTGGAACCCAAACATACATACTCCCCTTAACCAGCAACACCCAAAACAATACTTCCATCCCAGAAGCAATTGATAAATGGCATTGAAAAAAGAAAGAAAGAAAGAAAGAAAGAGGTTTACAGTCATCTCATGTCCACCAGTAACGACCATATAATAGAAAAACTATGTGAATTTATCTCCTATTGCTTTCAAAAGAGAGAAGAAATCTTCAAGGCCTAGATTAGTTTATTCTCTTGACTAGTAGTTGTTAAAACTTTTACATTATTGTGTTATCCTTATATCCTATGTATAATGTTACCCAGACATACAGTACATGTACAGTAACATCACACTCGATCTCTAGATCTAGCGGACCAACTCTCCTGGTATGGTATCTCTCTGTTTGTCCAATTTCTACTCTTTCCAGCCACTTCCCAAAGCCTGGTAGAGGCTATAGAAATGCCAGTCAGCTTTGAGGTCTGAAAAGTTGTTTGTTGAAATTTGCCGATTGTTGAATCTCACCAGGACGTGTGAAGAAACATCTGCACCGCTGGGCTAAGTACGTGGCATGGATGACCGTGTTCCTGGCGTCCACCGGCTCAGCGTTCTTCGTCCTGCTGTACAGTATGGACTGGGGGAAGGAGAGGAGCGACTCCTGGATGAAGGCCTTCATTCTGTCCTTAATGGGATCCAGCTGCGTGGCGGACACTCTTCAGGTAATGATCATGGTCTTTAATGAGGGCCTGCAAGGGGGGGTCCCGACAACCCTCTACGCTGAATTCGGAAACCTCTTGATTACGCTTTACGATAAATTCCAAGTGGCTACAACGAATTACGTGGAATTAAAACGGCGAATATGCTCTACACAAAATACACCAATTGCGCTCTACGTTGAATTAGAATGGTCCGTCTACGCTCTACATAGAATTAAAATGGCCGATTACGCTCTACGGAAAAGGGCTAGGGGGCCCCCTTTAATAAATCAAATTTACCCTGGGTGCCAGACCCCAGCAGGGCTGGCGCAGCTATAAGGCAGTTTTAGGCTAGGGAGATTTTAGCCTAAAGTTGGCTACAAGAGAGCTTGTATCTCAGCAGGCATAACTGTCTATGGCTGCTGAACAAACTCGCTGCCAGCTCTGCGAGAGTCTGGCACCTCAGGTAGTTTTTACCAAGGACCAAGGATTTTACCCAGCCTTAGCAGGTATCCATCCCTACTGTACTGTGTCTTTTCTGTTGCCAATAGGGATATGGTTTTATCTATGTTCATGATTGATAGTACATGTATTGTTCCCTGCAGGTGTGACTTCGTAAAGTCTTGATATGCGACACTATCTTGCGAGACCAAATCATCCATGCATGATAATAATATATAATGCTATTATCAATGATATCTTGTAGTCATGAATGTAGGACAGATTAGCCTTGTGGTACAGTTGTTTTAGTACCTTTGTTGCCATACATTGTGCTGCACGATTGTGGAGCAATAAAAATGATTTATTCATATCTTAAACCCATGTCATGTCAGATCGTGGTCCTTGCCGTGGTGCTGTCTGCTGTCTGTAACCCGTCGCTCCTCATCAAGCCACCAGCACTAAGGAAGGAAGACCTCAAACTCAACCTGTGGAACTCTGCAGGTTAGAGTTGTAACTTGTTGGAGCATTAATTTTTTGTTTGAGCCTTTGTGAAATTGACTCAAATTGGTCTGCTGGCAGTTTTTCATTGAGCACATAAGGAAGGAAGAGGTATAGGTCAAACAGTATGTGCCAAGATACAAGTTACATGTTTGAGATCCTGTTGAAATAACAATGAAACTATTTTTCCTGTTCAAGTTTTTACGTCCCCAGACTAAAACCTTCAGGAGAATTAACCTCAAGAACACATTGTAGCAACTGACATGTCGCATGACTACGTTTTGTATTGCAGCACCAAAGAAAATCCGCCCGCCCACCAAAG